TTTGGTTTAATTTTTTCAGTTTTTGCAATTGCTCGAATATAAAGTTTTTTTCTTAATTAATTTTTCCATCACCTATAATACGTGGCGTACTTATTTCACTTATCTTCTACTCACTGAAATCGTTGCTGTCGATATAAAATGGCACCGTCGCGTCGGGCCATGTAAACTTCTCCTTCAATAAACCATTGCGCAACCACTCGCGATGCAGCATAATATCGCCCTCGAAAAGGCCACAATGCTCCCAGAGATTCGTATCACCATCCTCGGACCAAAACTCGAAGGCCGCATCTGCGCCAAACAAAAAAAAAAAAAATAATAATAATAATAATAATTATCATTGAGTTGAAGACATTAGTGTATAATAATTAATATTATTATTGCTTTATTGCAATTGCTATTCATTTTGTACAATTTGTATGGCTTGAAATAGTTACCACATACTGTTGTGACGCCGCAGCATTTGCATATTGGCACTCCAACGTGGCGGTGGCGGCACCGCCGGCCTAAATGCGCTCAGCGCCTGCACACCGTGCCGATGTGTGGCGAAGTAAGCGCCGATTAACGCAATTACTAAATAATATTTTCGCATTTTCAATTTAAATTCTAGTTTTTAACTGCGCTTTTAACTGTACTAAATCACTGATWGAGTTCGCGAGTTGGAAAGCGAACTGCACGGCTGCCCTCGCCGATTGACAAATCTATTGTGTGGCACTTTGCTGGAGTGCGGCCCGCGTTATCGCATTGAAGAAAGTAAAAAAACGCCCACAAGTGCSCCGCTGGCYTTTTATRGCTTCAATTCGCCGAATCGATAATAATAAGTAATGAATTTTCAATTTCACACAACAACAATGTCATTGCRCTCATGCATACATACATATTTAGATATATATGTATAAATGTGTGTATATGGCCCACGAAAGCAGTGGCTGAATTGCCTTCACTGACTTCATTAATCGCAATCGAGCATTTTATGTGCGCCTCGCCGCTGGTGAATTTAGAATTGTTCGATTTCAATGAATTCTCTTCGGTTATTTGCATTCGGCTATCAATTGTGGAAATTGGATTTTGAGGTTATCAAATGTGGACGCTTGTTGCATACGAAATGCCTCGCTTGACTTGGGCGTTCGCTTAGGAGAATGTCAAGTGCCTTATGAAAGCAATGAAAGGCATTAGTGTGATATTGTTGTTATTGTTTGTTATTGTTTGTGGCGTTTAAGAAATTAATAGAAATTAAAAGTAAAATTGAATGAATGAAAATTGAAATAAGTGAGTAACTTGTAGTAAGTAGAAATTAATTTTCATTAAAAACATGACCAAACGTTAATTTCGGCTACACTGAGGCTATAATACCCTACACAGGTCCATTTTTTACTTTTCAATTGTTTACTCATTCCAAAATAGCRCCTGTTGGCAAAAGTGATAATGCGTCGGATATCAAGGCTGATATTGTTGTTGGTGTTAATGCTGGTTCCAAGATAGATGAAATTATCTACGACTTCGACTATCAGCAGTGACGTGGAAGCTTAGTCGTTAATGCAACGTCTGT